ACAAAAAGAAACAAAGTGACAGTTTCGGCACCCTTTTAAACGTGTATAATTCATTCGACTCAAGCTTCAACACAGTCCATATATATATTTCTGTCTGGATACAACAAAGCTGTCATAGAGAGCCTCTCTTGTTGGTCGTTAGAGGAATGTTTAAGTTTCGAAATGTTCGGAGCAACAGTCAGAAGTTGTATTAGTATTTAATCCAAAGACCCGTAAGCAAAGGTCAGAGGTCTCTTTGGTTTGGAAATGTATTCTGTACAGCCAGTTAAAGTGGATTTTTTTTTTTTCCCAAAGATTCTTAGTATGTACAGCAGCTGTGAGCAATAGCTTGTTTACTTTAAGCCACAACGCATAACGGTGGGGTGCCCTTAAAAAAAAAAAGGCACTTAAAGCTTGGGGGCGCTTAAAAATTTAAAAACTAAGAATCTTTCTAAAAGAAATAAATCTAATTACAGCTCGCGCGGAGAAGAAATGGCGGCAGATTGATCTTCCCGTGTTTGGTTTAATGGAAATTGAATGAAAATATCTTAGACTTTAAAAAGAGGTACTCCTTTTTCAAGCATAATTATAAACCTCATGGTGAACAGCGCAAACATTTGCTTCACATGAGCGAACATGGTAAACGTAATGCGGTTCTCCCACAACCAAAACTTTCACGGGAGGCAACAATTAATTTACTGTTACTATAACTTTTTTGTGTTAATTCCCCTGACTATTTTATTTATTTTATTATTTAAAAAAAATTCAAACAGGGTTTCTTTCAGGCTCCTCTCGGGGGTGGGTGGGGGTGGGGATTTCCACTCCACGGAAAGTCAAGTACCCCCGAGCAAATGGGTAAAAACAATACAACGATTAAATATTTTGTAATTAAATTAATTATATGCAATTAGAAAATTAATTATTAAATCTCAAAATTGCATTTCCATCTATTTTCAATATTGACTAATTTACAAACATAAGATAATTTTTATTATATATATTTGCTTTTAAATAATGACATTAGTTTCACTGTATTTTATTATAAATTTTCATATATTGGGTACGCAAAATAAATTCGGCTTTGGGATACAGTAGAGAAAAGGAAATTTATCATTGTCTTAAGCGACTCTGTGGTAAATGTAACAATCGGTGAACTACGAACTAGCTCAAATTTCCATTCATAAATTTAATATATATATATATATATATATATATGTATATATATATATTATTAAAGAGATATATGTTTTAAAAAAATTAAGGGAAGAGATTTGTGGTAAATGTAACAATCGGTGAACTACGAACTAGCTCAAATTTCTATTCATAAATTTAATATATATATATATATATATATATATATATATGTATATATATATATTATTAAAGAGATATATGTTTTAAAAAAATTAAGGGAAGAGATAATTGTTATAATTTTGCACCGACTTAACTGGGTTGTCCCCTTTTATTCTCAACATCTAGCTTGGTGTCACGATTACTATACAGAGACATAAAGAACTTTAGCACAAACACAAAAGTAGGCCTACATTCATGGCACACAGTCTTAACACAACGTAGATGTATTGAAGATTAATCGAAACGCTGTGGGAGGGGGGGGGGGGATCAATGAGAACCAGTCGCAAAGCTGTGGTAGTAAGGGTATTGATTTCAAACATTAATACCAAAAAAAAAGAAAGAAAAAACCATTCAAGTTTCGTTTACATTTAAATCAAATCCATTGGTTACATAGGGTGCTCATCTAATGAGGGTAAGAATTTCACGCACCACGTACCATAAGGTCATGCTCCACATAGCAGAATGTCATGCGCCACGTAGCAGAATGTCATGATGCTCCACTTGGAAAAATGTTATGCACCATTTAGAGGGGAGCTCATCTAATGAGGATAAGAATGTCATGCACCACTTAGCATAAGGTCATGCTCCCTTTAGCAGAATGCCATGCACCACTTAGCAGAATATTACACAACACTTAGCAGAATGACATACAACAAAAATTGTGTTATAAAACAAACCAGAATGTCATAAAACCAACTAAAATGTCATACCAACAAACTAAAATGTCATACCAACAAACTAAAATGTCATACCAACAAACTAAAATGTCATACCAACAAACTAAAATGTCATACCAACAAACTAAAATGTCATACCAACAAACTAAAATGTCATACCAACAAACTAAAATGTCATACCAACAAACTAAAATGTCATACCAACAAACTAAAATGTCATACCAACAAACTAAAATGTCATACCAACAAACTAAAATGTCATACCAACAAACTAAAATGTCATACCAACAAACTAAAATGTCATACCAACAAACTAAAATGTCATACCAACAAACTAAAATGTCATACCAACAAAATAAAATGTCATACCAACAAACTAAAATGTCATACCAACAAAATAAAATGTCATACCAACAAACTAAAATGTCATACCAACAAACTAAAATGTCATACCAACAAACTAAAATGGCATACCAACAAACTAAAATGTCATACCAACAAACTAAAATGTCATACCAACAAACTAAAATGTCATACCAACAAACTAAAATGTCATACCAACAAACTACACTTATAAATAATTAAGCCATGCCTTATGTTCAGATGAAATGAGGGAGTCACAGAGATAAAGTCATAACAGAAACAGTCATAGAGGCAAAGTCATAAGAGACACGGTTATAGAAACACAGTCACAAGAGACACAGTGATAGAAACAAAGACATAAGAGACGCCGTCATAGAGACAAAGTCACAAGAGACACAGTCATAGAGAACACGTCATAAGAGACACTGTCATAGAGACAAAGTCACAATAGACAAGGTCATAGAGACAAAGTCACAAGAGACACAGTCATAGAGACAAAGTCATAAGAGACACTGTCATGCAGACAAAGTTACAAGAGATACAGTTATAGAGACAAAGTCATAAGAGACACAGTCATAGAGACAAAGTCATAAGAGACACGGTCATAGAGACAAAGTCATAAGAGACAGAGTCATAGAGACAAAGTCATAAGAGACACGGTCATAGAGACAAAATCACAAGAGACACTGTCATAGAGATAAAGTCACAAGAGACACAGTCATAGAGACAAATTCATAAGAGACACAGTCATAGAGACAAAGTCATAAGAGACACGGTCATAGAGACAAAGTCACAAGGGACACTGTCATAGAGACAAAGTCACAAGAGACACGGTTATAGAGACAAAGTCACAAGAGACACAGTCATAGAGACACAGTCACAATAGACACTGTCATAGAGACAAGTCATAAGAGACACAGTCATAGAGACAAAGTCATAAGAGACACGGTCAAAGGGACAAAATCACAAGACACACTGTCATAGAGACAAAGTCACAAGAGACACAGTCATAGAAACAAAGTCATAAGCGACACAGTCATAGAGACACAGTCACAAGAGACACTGTCATAGAAACAAAGTCATGAGAGACACTGTCATAGAAACTAAGTCATAAGCGACACAGTCATAGAGACACAGTCACAAGAGACACTGTCATAGAGATAAAGTCACAAGAGACACAGTCATAGAGATAAATTCATAAGAGACACAGTCATAGAGACAAAGTCATAAGAGACACGGTCATAGAGACAAAGTCACAAGGGACACTGTCATAGAGACAAAGTCACAAGAGACACGGTTATAGAGACAAAGTCACAAGAGACACTGTCATAGAGACAAAGTCATAAGAGACACGGTCATAAATGTCACAAGAGACACTGTCATAGAGACAAAGTCATAAGAGACACGGTCATAGAGACAACGTCACCAGAGACACTGTCATAGAGACAAAGTCACAAGAGACACGGTCATAGAGACAAAATCACAAGAGACACAGTCATAGAGACAAAGTCACAAGAGACACAGTCATAGAATTAAAGTCTCAAGCGACACAGTCATAGAGACACAGTCACAAGAGACACTGTTATAGAGACAAGTCATAAGAGACACAGTCATAGAGACAAAGTCAAAAGAGATACTGTAATTGAGACAAATTCACAAGAGATACAGTCATAGAAACAAAGTCACAAGCGACACAGTCATAGAGACACAGTCACAATAGACACTGTCATAGAGACAAGTCATAAGAGACACAGTCATAGAGACAAAGTCATAAGAGACACGGTCAAAGGGACAAAATCACAAGACACACTGTCATAGAGACAAAGTCACAAGAGACACAGTCATAGAAACAAAGTCATAAGCGACACAGTCATAGAGACACAGTCACAAGAGACACTGTCATAGAAACAAAGTCATGAGAGACACTGTCATAGAAACTAAGTCATAAGCGACACAGTCATAGAGACACAGTCACAAGAGACACTGTCATAGAGACAAACTCATAAGAGACACAGTCATAGAGACAAAGTCATAAGAGACACGGTCATAGAGACAAAGTCATAAGAGACACTGTCATAGAGACAAAGTCATAAGAGAGACTGTCATAGAGACAAAGTCATAAGAGACACTGTCATAGAGACGACACAGTTATAGAGATACAATCACAAGAGACACTGTCATAGAGACACAGACACAAGAGACACTGTCATAGAGACAAAGTCATAAGAGGCACTGTCATAGAGACAAAGTCATAAGAGACACAGTCACATGAGACACTGTCATAGAGACAAAGTCACAAGAGACACAGTCATAGAAACAAAGTCTTTGGGATATTTGAGGTTTTGTTTTATTAGTTTTAAAATTCCATTAAGAATATGTCCGTAAAAAAAATAAATGCTACGTAAAAAACATTTTAAATATTGCCCAAGTCCGTGGGGTGAAAGCTAGACTCCTATCCAACTAAAGTGGAACGAAACATTAAAAATGGTTTGTTGATATCTCAAATTGTCACCAAAATGCTCCAGATATACTTCACCACCCCGCCCCCCAGTCCCCCCCCCAATGCGTTGCGTTACCCATGGAGTTTTGTGTACAGTCACATGTTGATGATCTTATCTTTAAACTTGGCTTATCAGTATGAGGAAAAAAAAATCCTGTGTCATTTAGAAAGGGAAAAACCATCTTCGATTCAGTTCGTTTTAGTCCTTTTAACAGAGCATATCTCTGCTGAGACAGAACATCTCTCTGCTGAGACAGAACATCCCTCTGCTGAAACAGAACATCCCTCTGCTGAGACAGAACATTCCTCTGCTGAGACAGAACATTCCTCTGCTGAAACAGAACATCCCTCTGCTGAGGTAAACAAATAATTTTATTTTTGTTTAGCAAATTAGCCAATTATTTGAGTGTTTTATTATTCTTTGTGTTATATTTAACAGATAGCAAGTATTCTGAGTTGTAGCAATAAGATTCCAATAATGTGAAACTTTGTTATGGATTACTTAGTTACAATATGTCTTAAAAGAATTCGGCAATTATTTTTTGCTTTAAATTATTATGTCAGGCTGTTAACCAAGATAAGACTTACACCATAAAAAGCTTAAGCAGCTGAAGAAATAAATGATGTGCGTGAAAAGTAATGTCAGACGTGTCTGATGAGATGTCTTAACATAAAAAAAGCTCTGCACAAATTGTATAACAGTAGCACAGCAAAATACCGTCATCTGAGGACAGACGTGTTTTGGGGATTCAAGAATTGGAAGATTGAAAATTTAAAAAAAAAACGCAGACAGTATTAGACACACGCAAACATCATTTGACACACACAAACATCATTAGACACACGCAAACATCATTTGACACACACAAACATCATTAGACACACGCAAACAGCATTAGACACACACAAACAGCTTTAGACACACGCAGACAGTATTTGACACACGCAAACAGCATTTGACACACACAAACAACATTAGACACACAAACAGCATTAGACACACAAATAACATTAGACACACGCAAACAACATTTGAAAAATACAAAGAGCATTAGACACACGCAAACAGCATTAGACACACACAAACAGCATTAGACACACGTAGACAGTATTAGACACACGCAAAATGCATTAGACAAACGCAAACAGCATCAGACACATGCAAACAGTGTTAGACATACTCAAAGAGCATTAGACACACACACACAGCATTAGACACACGCAAACAGCATCAGACACATGCAAACAGCATTAGACACACACAAACAGCATTAGACACACACAAACAGCATTAGACACAATCAAACAGCATCAGACACACACACAGCATTAGACACACACAAACAACATTAGACACACGTAGACAGTGTTAGACACACGGAAACAGCATAAGACACAAACAAACAGCATTAGACACACACAAACAGCATTAGACACACGCAGGCAGTATTAGACACACGCAAACAGCATTTGACACACACAAACATCATTAGACACACGCAAACAGCATTAGACACACACAAACAGCTTTAGACACACGCAGACAGTATTCGACACACGCAAAAAGCATTTGACACACACAAAGAGCATTAGACACACACAAACAGCATTAGACACACGCAGACAGTATTTGACACACGCAAACAGCATTTGACACACACAAAGAGCATTAGACACACGCAAACAGCATTAGACACACACAAAAAGCATTAGACACACGCAAAAAGCATTAAACACACACAAACAGCATTAGACACACAAACAGCATTAGACATACGTATTCAGTATTAGACACATGCAAACAGCATTAGACACACACAAACAGCATTAAACACACGCAAACAGCATTAGACACACACAAACAGCATTAGACACACGTAGACAGTGTAGACACACGGAAACAGCATTAGACACACAGAAACAGCATTAGACACACACAAACAGCATTAGACACACACAAAAAGTATTAGACACACAAACAGCATTAAGCACACACAAACAGCCTGAGACACACGCAAACAGTATTAGACACACGCAAACATCATTTGACACACACAAACATCATTAGACACACGCAAACATCATTTGACACACACAAACATCATTAGACACACGCAAACAGCATTAGACACACACAAACAGCTTTAGACACACGCAGACAGTATTTGACACACGCAAACAGCATTTGACACACACAAACAACATTAGACACACAAACAGCATTAGACACACAAATAACATTAGACACACGCAAACAACATTTGAAAAATACAAAGAGCATTAGACACACGCAAACAGCATTAGACACACACAAACAGCATTAGACACACGTAGACAGTATTAGACACACGCAAAATGCATTAGACAAACGCAAACAGCATCAGACACATGCAAACAGTGTTAGACATACTCAAAGAGCATTAGACACACACACACAGCATTAGACACACGCAAACAGCATCAGACACATGCAAACAGCATTAGACACACACAAACAGCATTAGACACACACAAACAGCATTAGACACAATCAAACAGCATCAGACACACACACAGCATTAGACACACACAAACAACATTAGACACACGTAGACAGTGTTAGACACACGGAAACAGCATAAGACACAAACAAACAGCATTAGACACACACAAACAGCATTAGACACACGCAGGCAGTATTAGACACACGCAAACAGCATTTGACACACACAAACATCATTAGACACACGCAAACAGCATTAGACACACACAAACAGCTTTAGACACACGCAGACAGTATTCGACACACGCAAAAAGCATTTGACACACACAAAGAGCATTAGACACACACAAACAGCATTAGACACACGCAGACAGTATTTGACACACGCAAACAGCATTTGACACACACAAAGAGCATTAGACACACGCAAACAGCATTAGACACACACAAAAAGCATTAGACACACGCAAAAAGCATTAAACACACACAAACAGCATTAGACACACAAACAGCATTAGACATACGTATTCAGTATTAGACACATGCAAACAGCATTAGACACACACAAACAGCATTAAACACACGCAAACAGCATTAGACACACACAAACAGCATTAGACACACGTAGACAGTGTAGACACACGGAAACAGCATTAGACACACAGAAACAGCATTAGACACACACAAACAGCATTAGACACACACAAAAAGTATTAGACACACAAACAGCATTAAGCACACACAAACAGCCTGAGACACACGCAAACAGTATTAGACACACGCAAAAAGCATTAGACACACGCAAACAGCATTAGACACATGCCAACAGCATCAGACACATGCAAACAGTGTTAGACACACACAAAGAGCATTAGACACACACAAACAGCATTAGGCACACGTAGACAGTATTAGAAATACTCAAACAGCATTAGACACACAAACAGCATTAGACACATGCAAACAGCATTAGACACACACAAACAGCATTAGACGCACGTAGTCAGCATTAGACACACACAATCAGTATTAGACACACGTAAACAGCATTAGACCCACTCAAACAGCATGACACACACAAACAATATTAGACACACGCAAACAGAATTAGACACACGCAAACGGTATTCGAGACACAGTTTTAGACACACAAAAAGTATAAAACACACAAACAGTATTTGACAAACACAAACAGTCGTAGTTGGTGAGCACAAAAACGCAGTAATAAAAAGAAGACACGTACATGGCTTGACATTTACATTTCAGCGTCCATCAGATCAACAAACGCCCAAAAAATGCTACAGGGCATCGCGTCTAGGACGATAACTTTCGTTGTGCTGTCGATGCTGGTAGGTGGACGTCTCTGCCTCGTCACCACCATCGAAAGCATCAGGACCAATTCAACAACTTCACTTTACCAGGGGAACATTAAGACCAAACAGTTCGACCACGAAACCTATTACCTGGGAACGTTTCTGGGAATTCCTTACGCTCGTCCATCGGCTGGACGCTTCTCACGCGCCGAGCCAATAGACAATGACAACTTAACACAAGCTTTCGATTTCCAAAATATATGCTACCAGAAGGTGGACCCGACGAATGAATGCCAGCGAGGCAGGGCCATGAGCGAAGACTGTCTGTATTTGAATGTTTACACGCCACTGAGAAGAAACTACACGCCCCCTACTAACGGGAGCGCAGATCATTTATCAAACGCCGTATCTGGGGCGTATCCGGTTTACGTTTTCATCCACGGAGGGGCGTTCTTTAGAGGCAATGGCAACTGCTACGATCCGTCCACCTTGGCGGCGTTCGGGGAAATAATCGTGGTCACCGTCAATTACAGGCTCGGGCCTTTCGGGTTCGCCACGACAAGTGATGACGTCATCTCAGGAAATATGGGGCTCTGGGATCAACACGAGGCGCTGAAGTGGGTGAATAGGCACATCCGAGAGTTTGGAGGGGATCCTAAGCGGGTCACCCTCGGCGGTCAGTCCGCGGGGAGCTACAGCGCCCTCTTCCAGGCTCTCTACGAAGGCAACGATGATCTTTTTCAGAGGGTCATCGCCCAGAGCGGCACGCCGGCGGCGAGAAAAAGCATCAACACCAGGGGCTACGCGACCACGCTGAAACTTGCCCGGGCGATGAGTTGTAAGATTGAGGACCCCAAGAACAGCGCCGAGATCAACGCGTGTCTGATCAACCAGAACGCAACGGATCTGGCTGAGAAGGTAATATCGAGTTTGATTCCATCTAGCCTTCCGTTCCAGCCAACGCTCGAGCGCGAATTCGTGACAGAAGACGTCCACAAGTTTCTGACGGCGTCGGCGAGAAATGAGCCGACGGATCCCAAGCTGATCCCAGCAAATTTCACCAAAAAGGATTTACTCATCGGCTTCAACGCTGAGGACGGGGAGGTATTCTACAGGTTGTGGGCCGTCATCTTGAATGATAAACTCGTCAACGATTCAATGAGACAAGACGCCATCCATCGAACCATAGACATGAATTTATTGAAATCGATCATTTTCAGTGTGGTGGCCGAAAGTTCAGACAGCAATATCGATGACTACGCGCGTGAGATAGAAGCCATCATGGAACGGTACGTCGACTGGGAAAACCCGGATCTCAACAGAACAAGCAACCAGGCCGTTAAATTGCTGACCGATGTGTTCTTTGCGGTCCCCGTGGTAGACACGGCGCTGAGCCGCATCAACGAAGCTGATTCCGCGACAACAGCCAGCGGGACGTCGGAGCGTGGTGGAGACTCTGAAGACGGAAGTACGTTCGTGTACAGGTTCAGACTGCCCAACACAAACCCCAGGTTTAAAGAGACGACGCTGAGCTGGTTTGAAGGCACCGAGCACAGCGCCGAGATCCCGTACGTCTTTGGCTGGGTCAGCGGGTCTGAGGAGGTCCGGCTGTCCAAGCAGGTGATGACCTACTGGTCAAATTTCATCAAAACCGGGTGTGTACAGTTGTTGGTGTCAGTCGTAATGTTCTTAGATCATTTAAATCTAATCCGTGCATCCCAACAGTTGGTACATAAACTTCGCCTGTGGGCATTTAAAAAATTTGTTTTAAGAGAAAATATTTCTTCTAATTTTATATTAATTTCATCAATCACCAGTCACCAGAATTTTTTGTGAAACTTGTTTTCTAAATCACAATATCACAAAGCATTATCACTTATGACCAATGGAGGGAACACCCTTGTTGTAACATTTGGCTTCTATATATTCTTTTTTATTCACGCGATGTAGTTAAATACATCAACGTTAATTGAGGTATTGCCATCATGCTCATAATTGCCATTAAGCCCTCTCCACAATTCAAACTGTGAATATTATGAAACAAGGATAATTTGTTATAAGTTACTATGCAGCAGATTTATGAGCTATGTATCTCATGGATAAAATTGTACTTCGTTGACTAATTTTTAAATTATATATATTTTTTTTTAATTTGTAAAAATTAGGCACCCCAACACACCAGCAACCAACAATGACGTCGCCGAGACTGAATGGAAGAAGTTCACCGCGACTGAGCAAAGCTATCTGGAAATTTCCGCCACGTCGGAGATGAAGGGTCGTCTGGTCGCCAGCAGTCGTCACTTCTGGCGAGACTTTCTGCCCTCCATGACGCAACATTACAGGGAAAGTTTTGACTCGGGTGTTCAGAGTGTCAAGTGTCCACCGCCCGGGAAATCAAACTCGGGCAACGATGGAGACCGGATGACAGGATCTGGACTTGTCTTAGTGGGACTTTTAATGGCTATTGAACTGGGATATTTAATTTAGACCAATATCAGTTTATTTTATTTCAGTTTGTTTTTTTTAAAACGTGTCAGAGGATTTAGACATGTGACTTAGACGTTTCTTCATTATTCTTGACTTAAACCCAAATTATTATTATTTTTATTTTTTTGAGGCAAAACACCAAATATTTCGTTTATTAGAATCCATTATTAAAAAAAAAAAAAAAAAACTACGTGGCTTTAAAGCAGCGGTTTTCAACTTGTGGGTCATGACCCCTGAACTACTCTTACACACGGGTCGCCTAAGACAATCGGGAAAAAAAACACATACTTATCAAGTAGCAACGAAAATGATTGTGTGGGTGGGGGTCACCACAACACGAGGAACCGCATTAAAGGGTCGCGGCATTAGGAAGGTTGAGAACCACTGCTTTAAAAAAAAGTTATTTTAAGATTTAACATAACTATTTCATATTAAAATATCACATCCTGACAACTGACCATGTAGAACAATGGCGTTGCACTTTTAACGGTATTCATCTCATGTTCATGTGAGTTGTAATCTGCATGTGTGGTTTCGATAACACGGTTGCTTGCCTAAATCCCGCGGGCCACTTCCGTCCCGTCAATGGCCCTTAACCCGGCCCGCCTGGCCGCCTTGTATCTGTGACAAAAATAGAGTCGAACTTTTGCCAACTATTTAGCAAAAAGCAGGCCAATTCTAACCAAAGTAGGCCAACACTATACCAAGTAGGCCAATACTACACCAAGTAGGCCAATACAACCCAAAGCAGGCCAAAAAACACACAAAGTAGGTCAACACTACACAAAGTAGGTCAACACTACACAAAGTAGGTCAACACTACCTATTAAAATACAACAAGTTTATGTGACTTAAAAGTTTTTTTCATTTAATGACTTCAATTTTTTCTTCTTTTTCACAACAAATAACATATGATAAGTTATGCAGTATGCATCAGATAAGTTACAAGCAGTTTGCATCAAATAAGTTATATGCAGTATGCATAAATTTTGGTTCATATATCATTTCAAAGTTAAGTCCGGCGCCTACAATTTCTAAGGGGCCCAAGTGTCTGAGGGACAGTGAACCAGCCCGCAATTTTCTAAGGGACGGTGAACAGCCCAGAAGTGTCTAAAGGACAGTGAACAGGTCCACAAGTGTCAAAAGGACAGTGAACCGGCCCACAAGTGTCTAAGTGACAGTGAACCGGTCCACAAGTGTCAAAAGGACAGTGAACCGGCCCACAAGTGTCTAAGTGACAGTGAACCGGTCCACAAGTGTCAAAAGAACAGAGATTTTCCACCTCCTTCTACAAAAAATAGCTCGGGGTGTGGCCGAAAATATCGCCACTGAAAGTTCTATATGTCCTTGACTTCCTATTTACACCATCAAAGTAACCAAATCATGTTTTTATCCATTAACAGTGCTAGATATGTATGTTTAAAACCCGAACAATAAATCGGGGAACGGTGTCTGGTAAGGGTTCCGAAAGTTTTTAAGGTGAAATTCCACGGTTCATAAGGGAGTTGAACTTTACCCTTAGATAACACAGATGTCAACTTTACTCTCCAAGATGAAATAATATGTCAGTTTGCTGAGGTAGGCTGCAAGAAACGCCTGGAGAATTTCAGTATCGTATGTTGACTTAAACAATTCATCGGACTAGGCCTAGGCCTAGGCCCTTCAAAACAGTACATCTACTAAAGCAAGACTCTATGCTGCGTGCAAGGTTTAGAATGGCTTGTTAGCAAATCTAATTTTAACAGCAATTGTTGTCTTCTTTTAAATAGTAAATTAGTTTAGACTTACGGTAAATTAGTTTAGACTTAAGAAAACGTAACTGATTTTTGTTTAAAGTATTGTTTTCTTTGCCTTGTGCCTTGTCAAGGGTTATGACCAATACGGCAATGGTCCTTTGGTTTTTTTTATGCAATGAACGCCATTGACATTTTGAATCTTAATTACCAGATTTGTATAAAAATCCTGCAGGCTTGCTCTCTCTCTGTTTGCTTAATTGCCCAACATTTTTTTTTCGATAACCTCCAGCTGCAATTGAACTGGTATGTCCTCGGGATTCCCATAAAATGGATATTCAATTAGTTTAAGCTGAATTTCTTCTTCTTTAGAAAGAGTAAGTTTTTTTTTTTTTATCAAATTCTTCTAACACAAGATTAATTTCATTAGCAAATATTTTTTTTGCGATACGACTTGCTTGTCTTGAGGCATAAGCTGTGCACAAGTGGAATAGGTGACCCATTTCACCGTTTAGTAACTGGTTTTGGAAAAGTTTCATTTTCATTTTAAAAGCTTTTACTGCTGAAAAAATTTCAAGTACAAGCTGTTGCTCCCCTCGAGGTTGAATGCTCAGGCCATTTGCTACGTCTTCTAGGAATATAGATGTTTCTTTCTTCAAAGCATCGAATCGCTGAATAACAGTCTCTCGGCTTAGACATCTCACTTCTACATGATATAGTATCTCTCTGTAGTCGGATTCTATTTTTTCAAGAAAAGCTTCAAAAGCCGTATGTTTGAGTCCTCTTGATCTTATATAGTTGATTATTCTAACGAGTAGGTTTTGTTGATTGAGAATACATACGCGCGGGAAACCATAGTCGATTTCGCTCGCGAAAGAGTAATTGCGCGTGAAAGGTGTGCGTATGTGAGTACATGTCAAGAAGGGAGCTAGATCCCATGCAGCTAATAATAACCACAGCTGAGACACGCAGGCTGGCCCGTAAGAGCAGCATTAGGTCACCGTCTGCAGCAGCTATCCCCTGCCCGCGGTGCCAGAGATTATTCCGAGCACGGGTCGGTCTAGCAAGCCACCTACGAGCTCACCGTAACCCACCCTCCCCCTAACCGGATGACTGGAGGGTTCTAGTCGATTTCGGCGGTCGAACAACAAATGTAACGGGGAAATAAAACACGTTGTGAATATTTACACAACGATAAATATGAAATAATATATTTTTATTGAATTTAAAAAAAAAACATTCATTTCATTTATACAAGGGGAAAAATCCAAAATAATAATAAATTTATTGATTATTTAAAAATGAAATAAATATTTATATTATTTTTCTATGTATATACCTTGCGTATTATTATAAATCAATAAGCTGTGTGATATTATTTTTAGTTTATAATATGAATTGTCACCAAAGGCTTCGTGGGCCGTAAAGTGGGTGCTGGCGGGACGCATGCGGGCCGCGGGCCATGGGTTGTGCAGGCCTGCTCTAAGCAACCCCCCTCCCCCGGGGCCACACACACACACACACACACACACACACCATTTTAAGTTTCAATATTTTGTTTATTCCATTTGACAATTTGCACTGGAGAAACACCTTTGTCAAATGACATATTATAAAGCTAAGGTTGTCTAGCTTATTACCCCCTGGTAATACATCATTGGTCATGCCCCCCCCCCCCCACTCTCAACTCCCGTTTTCTATCCGCAAGCACAACACTACCTCCCCGTATCCCCCCAATTGCGTACGGCATTGTATTAAAAAATGAAGCCTATGGATTTTTTTTTTTTTTAACTTAAGCGCCGGCTCACGTCTGGAAAAAAATAAAAACGAAGACGCGCAGATGGACTTAGCCGGTCAGTGGGTCAACCAATGGGCAGTCTGGTGCGACTGGGTCAATGAAGCAAGCTGGGGCTGTGAGTAATCGAGTGTTTGAATTAGGGCTACACGTTGTACCACGAATGGTTTTTTTTTTTTTCTTCTTAGGTCCATCCTAAGTCCAAGCTTTAAAACAGTTCAATGGCGAGCCGGCAAGTAAGTTCCTCTTAATGCTAATCTTGGGCTTGACGCTCACCTCACGGCGCTGTGATAAAGGGCAGTGTCGTTTCAACCGTTTTTAGGCAAGACTAGGCGGCTGCCTAGGGACGGCAACATTTTATGGGCGGGAAAAATATAGCGCGGAAAATATTTACATTTTAAGTCAAATAGAGAAAAAGTATGTATGATAGTTCAACAACGTATGAATGATAGTTCAACAACGTATGAATGATAGTTCAACAAAGTATGAATGCTAGTTCAACAAAGAATGTATGATAGTTCAACAACGTATGAATGATAGTTCAACAAAGTATGTATGATAGTTCAACAAAGAATGTATGATAGTTCAACAACGTATGAATGATAGTTCAACAAAGTATGAATGCTAGTTCAACAAAGAATGTATGATAGTTCAACAACGTATGAATGATAGTTCAACAAAGTATGTATGATAGTTAAACAAAGTATGCATGATAGTTCAAAAAAGTATGTATAGACTAATAGTTCAACAAAGTATGTATGATAGTTCAACAAAGTATGTATAGACTAATAGTTAAACAAAGTATGTATGATAGTTCAACAAAGTATGTATAGACTAATAGTTCAACAAAGTATGTATAGACTAATAGTTCAACAAAGTATGTATGATAGTTCAACAAAGTATGTATAGACTAATAGTCCAACAAAGTAATGTATGATATTTCAACAATTTATGCATGATAGTTCAAGAAAGTATGTATGATAGTTCAACAAAGAGTGTATGATAGTTCAACAAAGTGTGTATGATAGTTCATTGTTATTAAGGACGAATCGCCAACAGTATAGGTTTTTTTACCACCCCCAAAGGAATGGGGGCTGTACGGGTCAGGGAATGGAAGGACCAGTGAGACAACCCCCTCCCCCCGCCCCCAAACCCTTCTATGATCTTAGGTCAAGGTTCCAGCACTACCCCTTCCTTCCCTCCCCTCCCCTCCGCCCCCCCCCCATTTTTTTTTCTCCAAACCAGTCCTTTTGTAACCGGCCCATGGTATCACGGTCACCAGTTTCCCAGAGACCAACCAAAATCAGGGTCAGTGGTCTGCCCCTGGTCTCCTCGTGATACTTAAGATTTCCTTTTTAGAGTGGGGGGTGGGCGGTTGCTTGGGTGGAGGAGGGTGGAAAATACATGCGTGGTAATGAAATCAAGTTTCAAGTTTGTTACAAAAACAGCATACATTACAACAACAATATTTTCAAACAATTCAACCAGCATTTTTTTTTCCTTTCTTTTTTTTTTAAATATTTTTTTTTTAATATGCACTCATCAGGAAACAAATTTAAACCCCTTAATTCTAAATCCATGTGAAGGTTATTAAATAAGGGCTCTTAAGTTTCATATTTTTGGGCATTAATTTTGAAAATGTGTGTGTGTGTGTATGTATTTTTAACATATTTTAACCCCCACCCCTCAAAAAACAACAACAAACAAGAACACGATAGCGTGTGAATGTAGCACAAATTGGCTGTTTCCTTTTAAAAAACATGAGTCGACACGATCGTTTCAGTAAACAATTCATTCCATTTCACACATTTGAGCCAAGTGTATAAGAGACCCTCAGTTGTGTATAGTTGTATAATATAATATATAAGCGTGCATTTTTATCCCCACAAGGTTTGACCCACTTTATATAGGTCTGGTGAAGTTAACGATGGACAAAACTCGATTTCTTATAAATATGTTTTCCCCCCTCTTACAGACCAGTTGTTAGTTCGGAAGTTCACTCAGGAATAAAATGTATTTCCCCCCGTTCGTGGAGTGGGCAAAAAGTTGCACAGTTCATGCAACCGGGCAGTTACATGACCTGCGCCGAACGCACGCAATATAAAACAGGAAATACTTCACATGTGCAATGTACTGCACTCATACACACATGTGCAATGTACTGCCCTCACACACACACATGTACAATGTACTGCACTCAAACACACATGTGCAATGTACTGCACTCACACACACATGTAAAATGTACTGCACTCACACACACACATCTGCAGTGTATTGCATTCACACACACACATCTGCAGTGTATTGCAATCATACAACAGTTCAAAGTCTCACCAGCAAGAACATTTCTTTATAAAGAGGATATGTAAAGCTCCACCAGAGGCTCAGTGTTTAAACTCATGCTTGGCCCAAACTCTCGGCTGAGGGCTAAAATTATGTGTTCAAACTCAAGACTGGGCCTACCTCCCGGCTAAGTGCTAAAAATATATGTATTTAAACTCATGCTTGATCCAAACACCCAAAGATCCCATAAATTGACCCCATAATCGGCCCAAAGACAAGAACGGCTCATTATCTTGCGTCTGCGCAGAGGACGTGACAAGACACGTCCAAGTCAATAAGCACACTCCACAGCATACTGACCAGACCGGACACCAAGTTATCATCTCTGCAAATATCCATAGAAGACAGTCCGACATCACCTCCTTCACCGCCCAGGATATGGGCCTTAATTGTCTAGAACGGGCCTGCACAACTCAACGTGTAAGACGGGTCGTAATACGTTATGAAAAACTTGTGCGGGCCAAAAGAAAATAGGACAAGGGGAAAGCTATTAAGAAAATAATAAGAATAAAGAATATTTCTTTACCTCGCGGGTCGAAAAGTGGGTGCTGGCGGGCCGTATGTTGTGCAGGCCTGATCTAGAACAAAAATCGCAAGACTACTGTAAGAATCTACGCAAGCACTGACTACCTGAAGTAAAACTGGCACATTTTAAACTAAGGGCTAATGGGACTTGCCAAAACAGCAATATACTATTATATAACAGTTGCACACTGTTTTAAAGAGGGACCCCCCTCCCACCTTTGTGACGCCACTGACTAGTATACATTTATGACGTTGAAATGCAGTTTATATTTCCACTGGAATAACTTGTTGTGCAATGCAATGGACAGCAGTAGACAACTAAAGAGACAATGCGTGAATAGAAAACATTTTTCTTGCCGGTACCAATGGATTTAACTCAATGACAATAGTGAACTTTAACAACACTATTAAGAGAACAAATCTTGATGGAAACCTAACCTCAAAACTTTAGCACGGCAAAAGGAGTAATGAAGTTCACGGTGATCATATAATAAATCTATTATATTTGGGTTTTTTTTTTTCTCGTTTTTGTTGTTGTTTTGTTTTGGTCTTTACATAGCTTCCCTATGCCCTGTAAAAACCCGAGCGGCCCACTGAGCTGTCATGGCCGGGTGTCGGACGTTGGACAGAGGGACGGGGAAGGAAAGAACAAAGACGCACATGTGCACCGCTGATAGAGATTTTTTTTTTTACAGAGGGACGGGGAAGGAAAGAACAAAGACGCACATGTGCACCGCTGATAGAGATTTTTTTTTTTTTTTTTTTTATCGTTGCCCATTAGTCACCGCGTGGACATGTCTCTGACCATAGGCCATACTGCAGGTTTTCAGCCAATGGGGAGAAGCATGTGTTAGATGTGAAAAGGGGTCGCTGCTTTAAAAAGAGTCTCCTTTCCTTTAATTCCGTACGCATTACAACAACAAACAACAAAATACCTTCACCGAAGAAGTTTTGATTTCGCGATTGGATTCTCTGTTTCACATAAAACTCCGATCAAGATTATGTTTGGATAAATTGCTTTGAGCCAGTCAAACGTATTGAGACACACGTATATAATCATGGGGATTTGATCGTTGTTTTTTTTTCTTGTTTTTTTAAATTGTATTAATTGTTATTATTTTTTTTTAAAAATCGTTCAGACTTGTTTTTCAAGAAGAGTGATTTTGACTTGTAGAGTTTATCAGGTAAGTGTGGTGGACACTTTTCAGTTTTCTTTGAAAACTTCCTAAATTCCTTTATCTACAAAGTGTAAATGAAGAGATATCCGTGTCATGTTGGCATGTACATTTTAGATCAATAAAATTGTTGACGATATTATTTTTAAAATACTTAGGTCGACACCGATATTTTAATACCGGTATGATTGATTTTCTTATTTCAATTGTTTAAAATAATTGTGTGAGTGTGTGTATAATTCACTTAAGATTCTCTGATGTTATGACTGAAGTTTCAACAACAAAAAAACTAGATGGATATTGAATAGGGATAGCTCCAGCATGTTTGTAGTTTTAATTCAGTGTTTGCTTTGATGAGATTCTAGATCATGTTAAACTGGCATTGCATACTAAACTCTCGGCTACATATCTAAGTTCTTGCATTCCGCACTGTAGTAACCTAATGACATCTAAGTTCTTCCATATCACGCTGTGGTAACCTAATGATATCTAAGTTTTTACATACCACACTTTAGTAACCTAATGATATCTAAGTTCTTGCATACCACACTGTAGTAACCTAATGATATCTAAGTCCTTGCATACCACACTGTAGTAAACTAATGATATCTAAATTCTTGCATACCACACTGTCGTAATCTAATGATATCTAAGTTCTTGCATACCACACTGTAGTAACCGACTAATTTCTAAGTTCTTGCATACCACACTGTAGTAACCAACTAATTTCTAAGTTCTTGAATCCACACTGTAGTAACCTAATGATATCTAAGTTCTTGCATACCATACTGTAGTAACATAATGATTGCTAAGTTCTTGCAAACCACACTGTAGTAACCGACTAATTTCTAAGTACTTGCAAAGCACGGGGATGATTTAAAAAATGTACACTGGATTTAAATGATGGGCAGTTAATGAAATCTAAGTTCCAACAAGAGAGCGGAAGCTTGGAAAAGTTTATTTAGCATATTATTTATGCACTGGACCTTCCACTTCGTCATCAGTGACAGTGCACATCGAGGGAAGGAAGTCACCGGTCGGGGGCATTGTGAATTCTATGATTTCTAACCACTCTGCTGGACCGTATCGGCCACAGTGGTGGTACGCTGGTAAGACACGCTAGTGCACACTCAAGTCCTTGAAAGATTACAGAGCTGGTCCGGAACGGCGAAACTGGCTTGTACTCGTTCTCGTTCACCAGTTGTTGTTTTTTGTTAAGGGGGTGGGAGGAGGACGAGTGCACAAACTGATATCTCGTTATGACCGGCGGTTGGCATGTGAGGTGGGGGCTGGGCGGTGACAGATATTAATTCACATAATAAATAATGATCAAACCATAAATATAAAAAAAAAAAAAATTATGCATTCACCTATTATGGTATCATACTGAAAGTGGAAATATTTTGTCCGACTCCAACGCCATCAGTGTTTAACTTGCACTTTTTTGTTTTTTTTTGTTTGTTGTCGTTACTATATCACCAATGTATGTGTAAAGCCACGCTCTTATATTAAAAAGTCTGAATGGGAAAATATTAATATGATTACTATTTAAACTATTTTACAACTCGTGTTAAGGAAGCTATTAATTAATTTTTATTCTTTATTTTATAATTCTTTATTTTTATTTATTTTATTCTTATTTATTTTCTTTATTTTATAATTCTTTATATTCTTTTATTGTATTTTTATTTATTTATTTATTTTTTTAGCTATTAGCTTATTTAATAGCTTGTTGTAGAAGACATAAACATTGACAACATTAAAAAGGCTAAAATCTGATCCCCCCCCCTTTTTTTTTTCTAAATCCTTAGAACAAAGAGAAATTATGGAAACTAGATGTCAATAATTTGATTGGATGTAAATGCACTTTAACTTTAAACAAAAACAACACATTAACTTAAATGCAAACAGTGAACTGAAAATCATTTTACCGACCACCAGGCATGGGGGCCTTCGATGAAGTAGATCACGCTATTTTTAAAAAAAAACAATTCTTAACCCCCCACCCCCCGCAGCTCTCGCCATCACAATCTGTCACAAATCTCAGACCACTCCCCCAACCCCCACTACTTTTTTAAAAACAATTTAAAGGTATGTCAAACCTAAAAAAAAATGATTTTAAACATTTAACATCTAATTAAAATTGAATCTAAAACACGTTTCCTTATTACAATTAAACACTACTAAGTGGCATCTTCATTCATATATATATATATATATATATATATATATATATATATATATATATATATATATATATAAATAAAAATTATATAAATGTGTGACCTCACATATTATCAAAAACTCCCTCTCTCTTCCCCGGGCCCCGAGCGTGACGTACTTTATGGACGAAACCTAGTGTTTAAAAAAGTCTGATGAGTTCGAATGTTATTAAACAGTGCCCGGTTTTAATTGACTGCTTAAGTTAAATCATTTCAAATGGTCCTTGGGACTATGAACAATGGGGTTCATTAAAAAAAATTGATTATAAAATCGCTTAAATTTTTTTTTTTAATGGAAACGCTACAGGCATTTAAATACTGACGCTCCCCCTTTACAACAGCTTTCAGCGTTTCCCTATCAAACCTCCCGCGTCCCACCTTCCTACGGCCCACTTACGGGGTCAATCAACTTTCGGTACCGTTGTTTTGACCACCAGAGAACTATGTCAGCTATGTTGTTTACCACGAATTTTCCGCCCACCGGTTCTGGCGATGACATAGATTCTTAACCCATTTCCTCAAACTCTGTACCGAAAACAAAGGTGTGTACTTGAGGTGGGCTGGGAAGGAAAAAAAAAATAAAGGGGGGGGGGTGTCGGAAAAAATACGACGCAGAATACTTTTTTTTCCAACTTAAATTGTCTATTTTGGTGGTTTGCGGTAAAGATATTGATTCGATACGATGTATACAGGATAGTGGATTTCGCGAATAAACGGGCTCTGAAAGGTGAGTTTCGTGTTACTCTCTCAAAGAATTCTTTTATAGTGTTGTTACGACATTGGTCGTTATTATTTTAGAGCTTTCCACAAGAGAAGCTACGGCGCTGTCCAATAGGTGCGAAAGGCAAGATTTAGAGAACTATTTTTTTTTTTTTAAATTATTTTAAAAAATAAAAATGTTAACATTTAAAAAAAAAAAATTAACCGGTATATAAAAATTAAAATTAACGTGTTTACAGTAAACGTACGATGAAGGTAAAGAGCGGGATCATGTCAAATTTCAAAAGAGTTTATCAACTCCTCACAGTTATCATCAATTCTTCCATAAAAAATAACTGATCTTGATGGCAAAAATGATATTCCAGTTGCTTTAGCTGTTCGCTGTATTCCTATTTTAGCTGTTCGCTGTATTCCTATTTTAGCCGTTCGCTGTATTCCTGTTTTAGCCGTTCGCTGTATTCCTGTTTTAGCCGTTCGCTGTATTCCTGTTTTAGCCGTTCGCTGTATTCCTATTTTAGCCGTTCGCTGTATTCCTATTTTAGCTGTTTGCTGTATTCCTATTTTAGCCGTTCGCTGTATTCCTATTTTAGCCGTTCGCTGTATTCCTGTTTTAGCCGTTCGCTGTATTCCTGTTTTAGCCGTTCGCTGTATTCCTATTTTAGCCGTTCGCTGTATTCCTATTTTAGCTGTTTGCTGTATTCCTATTTTAGCCGTTCGCTGTATTCCTATTTTAGCTGTTCGCTGTATTCAACGCGTAGAAATCATTACTTAAAAACAAAAAATTGTTTTGTATTACCAGGTGTGGACTCTTGCTAAAGGTCTTTCCAAATATTTTTTCTCAGAACATATATCGGACCACAGCATGAACCCAATGTTTTTATCATTGAATAGAACTTACTTTGCCCTCAGTCATGAATGACATACGGACTTGAATCCTTCAATATATTTAAAAAAAAATTAATATAGCATTAAAAAAAACAAAAAAACTGGACGGCTTGTTTCATTCCGGAAACACTTGAGTAAATTAGTTATTCCTGGCCTTTCAAACAATGAAAAAAATTGCTATCATCGGTGCCGGCTGCAGTGGTCTAGCTGCACTGAAATGCTGCCTCGAGGAAGGTCTTGATCCGGTGTGTCTAGAAAAGGCCTCGGACATTGGCGGGCTGTGGAACTTCACCGAGGAGCACCGGGAAGGCAGGCCTGGCATATACAAGAGTCTCGTCATCAACACCAGCAAGGAAATGATGATGTTCAGTGACTTCCCACCCCCGGAAGACTTCCCGCCTTTCCTGACCCACCGGAAAGTCTTGGAGTACTTCCGCCTGTACGCGAAGCGCTTCGATCTGCTGCGGCACATTCGGTTTGGGTCGGAGGTTACTCTCGTGACCAAGTGCGAGGACTACGATGCGTCCGGCAGGTGGCGCGTGGAGCACACGTCGATCAGTGACGGGAAGGTGGTGCAGGCAGCGGAAGTGTTCGATGGTGTTATGGTGTGCAATGGACACCACTCGGTACCTTATGTGCCAGAGATACCTGGACTTGACAACTTCAAAGGCCTGGTCATGCATTCGCATTCATACAAAGACGCCGGATTGTTTCATGGAAAACGAGTTGTTATCCTAGGTAAGGGTTTACCATTATATATAATCTCTTGTTTATATATATATATATATAACGACCACCCTTATGATGTGCCCCAAATGTTATAATCTCCAAGGCTATGGCACCAGTACGACAGCCAAATGATAAGGCCCTAGTAATATGGCCGCAAGGATAAGGCCTCAAAGATACCACCCCAAAGATGAGGCACCGATGATATGAACCCCATTGTGTAATGTCTAATAACCAGCGTGTTAAATATGTCAAACACAGCGATCGCCCTACTTAAGCATTTGTTCCTCTTAACGCAGATATTCATTTGGAAGAGATTTCATCATACCCCCCTCCCCTTTTCCTCCTTTTACGATTTTATCTTCTCGACAAATAAATGAGGAAATATTATTTAATAAGTTACACTGACATCCAATAATTACACTGATACCCAAAAGTTACACTGATATCCAATTTCATAAAACTATTTCGTGTCATGTGATATTTTTTCTCCACCTGTCCCTCGGCCATAAAATAAAAATGCTGTCAGAAAGATCAACTTGAACTCCACTCCAAAATAAGTCGCAATCTCTAATGGTAAATGTTCATGCAAAGACATTGACAGATTAAGAACACAAATGTATGTAAATAAAACAGTAATGTTAAGCTCAAATAAAATTCCTGACAAAAGTTTAAGTCCAATAAAAATAATTTACGCCATTCCTGAAGAAAATGAAATAGATGAAAATATCTACAGGCTGGGCCAAAAAAAGTGAGAACATCTCGTAAAATATTACGCTACGAAATGTTCTCATTTTTATTGGCCCACTCTGTATATTATTTTCTTTTTTTTTTTATGTCTGTGTAGTAATTTAAGAAAACAAACTAGTTATTACGTTGGTTGGAGTGAAAACCGTATCATCTGCTGTAATTACAAAAATTATATAAAAATACCTTAAGATGTCATAAATGATCATAAATTGTTTTTAAAAAAATTTAATAAAAAAGAAGCTATTATTGCCTTCCCAGGGTCCCCCACATAATGTCACATGACATCAACTGTTTCATATTTTCCAGGTTTGGGTAACTCGGCGGCAGACATCGCCTGCGATCTCGCTAGAGGGTCAGAACAGGTAAGTAGCTTCCTCCTTTCTTACTCTAAACTTGTCTGAAATTTAATCTGGCATCTAAATACGTTTTCTTTTTAGATTCAATTCATCATCATCATCTCCATCATCATCATCATCACCATCATCATCATTCAGATCCAGTGGCCATTTAGGCATGTTCCCCTTGGCCTAATACGATTTAGATCAAACACATAGCTCGATGTTAAATGTCTGGAAAATAATGTGCTCGTCCTTTACGAAGTCTTACACTCTTACACTCTTTGAAGTAAGAACTTGTCGATTTGGGTTTTTGGGGGTGGATGTTCAAGTGTTTGTTGATTTGTGCACAGTGTTCATGGCTTGGTCTTCGGAAAGACTTCGTCTTTTAAGGGATTTTCTAGAGGGGTATATGTTTTTTTAAATTTTTTTCAGTTGCGGAACTTAATTGTCATATCTCGTAACAAATCTATGCCGAGTTTTTTTTTTTTTTTTTTTTTTAAATGAAACTTTATACAGTTTTTTTATAGTTTTTTTTTTTTTTTTTTTTTAAAGGGAACTTTAAACAGTTTTTTTAAATAAAACTCCGAGGGTACATATAATCAATAAAACCTCATTTAGTTATTAAAGGAAAAAAAAAGCAGCTGAAAATATTATTAGAATTAGGGGTCTTTTTTTTTTTTTTTTTTTTTTTTAAATGGAACTTTATACAGTTTTTTTAAATCAAACTACGAGTGTACATATAATCAATAAAATCTCATTTAGTTATGTAAGGAAAAAAATAGCAGCTGAAAATATTATTAGCATTATGTGTCTTTCTTTTTTTTTCTTTTTTTTTTATAAATTTTTAAATTGAGTAATAAGGGGAAAAACCACTCCGCATTACAATGCAGAGTATTGTAAGGGTTATATCATCTCTTCACATGAGAGTTGATTTTTTTTTTAGTTCATAATAAAACTATTTACTACCAGTTGATAAAAAATGTAAAATATTTTTTTTTTTAAATTGACGAGAATGGGAGATCTACCCCCCTCTCCCCGCACATTTTCACTCCCTCCTCTGAAAACTGGATTAAGATTTGTGGTCTGTCCAAGCTTTGTACCAAACTTCATCCATCCCTGTGGCGCTACAGCCCATATAGGGTTTTGGCCTGCCTCACCAAATCCTTTAAACGGATGCTTTTCTCACTGATGCTCGGATTTTCCAGCTGGTGTAGATCTTTTTCCAAATCATCCATCCATCTAAGCCTAGGTCTGCTTTTGGGTCGTTTTCCTCAGGGGGTTTTGGTGGTGCAACCTGTTCCCTCATCTGCCATTTGGCATTCTTTCTAAATATCCTACCCAGCGTAGCCTGCCCTCTTTTATTTCTGATACCAGCGTGGGGTCCCGATATTGACTATACAAATTCCTGTTTGGTTTATACTCTCAATCCATATTCATCTTTTGTTGGTCCGTTTATTTTTTCTGGAGAACTCCAATGGGTTTAATAGGATATCTGCCGTTTTTGTTAGGGTAGCAAACTTTAGGTCTCGAGAATAAGCGGAATCAATGGGAGTTTTAGCTCAATGATGTCTTGGATTATAAAAGAGCAACTTTGAAACAACGCTGAAGTCGTGTGTAATTGAAGTTTTTTTTGTTGAATTAATAAAGCATTTTTCCCCAATCGTTAAAAGACTTCATGTGTATTCATATATTATCATTGGTTGGGAATCATTGTCAAGTCGTCCTCCTTCCATTTTGCTGGCACATCATACAGGTGTATCTGAGCTCACGAAGGGGAGCATGGATCGTCCCACGGACCGCCTTCTGGGGTCTCCCGGCGGACATGCTGGCCAACAGCAGGGTTGTGTTTAGTCTGCCCCTCAGGTTACTGGACTGGTGCGTTCAGATACAGGCCAACTTCAGGATTGATCATGACACCTACGGTCTCAGGCCTAAGCATGGGTGAGTTCATTTTTTAGGTGCACATTATGGACGTGATGATGACATCATGTGTAAATCTCATCTTATGAACAAACAAACGTTACTTATTTTTTTTGTTTTAAAATGAACAACAATTTTGTCGTCTAATTATTGAGGCACCACCTGCACACTTTTCATTCGCACCCGAACAAGCCTCCAGGAGACATTTAAAGAAAACTATGTTTGTTTATTTTAATACAGTTACCAGGAAATCTATTTACGGGGCCCACAAACACTATTGGCATACATTCAAAACACTGTGGCAAGAAATAATTTAAACACAAACTTTGAGTGACCACTCGTTGTACCCGAACGTTACAAATAAGAATTGTCAAATTATGTCATTTTTCACAAAGAACAATGTAAAATTACCATTTGTTGTACCCGAATTTTTTAATTTTTTTTTTATATTTAAATTTCAACAAAAATGTAATATATAAAGGTATTTTTATCATTAAAAGATAAAAAATAATTGACTTCATCTTGCATTCATGTGCGCTTAATTCAAGCCATTAGAATACAAGAGAGTCTGTCATTCCTGAGACCGAAAAACGTCCCATCGAATTACGTAATGTTACTAATTTTTTTTTTTAAAATTCGTAAAACATGACTTCTAACAATGTATCTCCGCATATATAATGTATCTCCGCATATATAATGTATCTCCGCATATATAATATATCTCCGCATATATAATGTATCTCCGCATATATAATGTATCTCCGCATATATAATATATCTCCGCATATATAATGTATCTCCGCATATATAATGTATCTCCGCATATATAATGTATCTCCGCATATATAATATATCTCCGCATATATAATGTATCTCCGCATATATAATGTATCTCCGCATATATAATGTATCTCCGCATATATAATGTATCTCCGCATATATAATAGATGCAACAATGTGTTTGTAAAATCTATCGTAAAATAAAGTTGTATACAACGTTTCCGTTTAGGTCATGGCTTCATTAACTTTAAAGTACCGAACAGCTGTTGTGAGATTGGCCAAACAGAATACCAGGATGTTTTTTTTTTTTTTTAAATTTATGAAATTGGCCTAATTGACAGTACACCCGGATGTTCTGTTAACGGAACTACGCTATTCAATAACAAACCCTACTGTCCGTACACACTCATTAACGGTTTACTCATTTGAACCCTCAGCGTGCTGAACTGCCACCCCACCATCAACGACGAGCTCCCCATCCACCTGGTATCTGGACGGGTGCTGACCAGGTCCAAGATCTCCCGAGTCGAGGAGTCCGGAGTTTGGTTCCACGATGACAATGTATTCTGCCCGTGTGACGCAATCATCCTGGCCACTGGCTACGACTACAGGGTGGACTTTGTGGCGCCAGACGCCGTGCAGGTCAGTGACCGCCCTCCGTTCTAACGCCTTCGACTTGCACTTTTTTATCATGTAGTTATAGCGAAAGAAAGGTCCAGATCTGTCTGTGCGGCTTTGAGAGAACTATTGTTCTAATAAAAAAATTCAATGTATTACAATTCATTATTATTAATTTGTTCATTATTAACATTTTCTATTTAATTTATAATTTTAAGTGGTGCTAGGAGTGATCATTATTATTAACTAACTGTGTTCCTAAAATTCTTAAATATCATTGTTTATTATGTTTTTTGTTCCTTAGTTTCCTTTGGCTTTAGTTATTGTTTTGTTTAGCCCTTGTTTTTTTTTTTTTTTTTTTTTGGGGGGGGGGGTGCTTTTTTTTATTATTGATTGCGAAATATAAACGATTTATCTTAGAGAATGCTCGCCTCTCTTAGACTGAGGGAGTGGATCTCAGTGCAGGAGAAGCATGAAGCATTTCCCTTACATTTTTTTGTTTTTTTTTGTCTTTTTTTTTTTTTTTTTTTTTTTTTTGGGGGGGGGGATGCTTTTTTTTATTATTGATTGCGAAATATAAACGATTTATCTTAGAGAATGCTCGCCTCTCTTAGACTGAGGGAGTGGATCTCAGTGCAGGAGAAGCATGAAGCATTTCCCTTACATTTCTCATATTATGTACCAAGGTGGTCAACAATCGTACAAGGCTTTACAAGTATGTTTTCCCACCTCACCTTTCCCACCCCACCCTGGCCATGATTGGACTGATCCAAGCTATCGGCGCTGTTATGCCTATTGCTGAGATGCAGTGCAGATGGTATACAAAACTTGTCAAGGGTAAATATACATTTAATTAAAATTAGTGCCGATACTAATTTAAATATATGGCTTTTGTCGATTTTGGTCCCAGCCGCCGATGTTCTTCTTCTTCTTCTATATATTAAGGGCCCACGATCAATTTATTGATCATTTTGGCCCCTATGCATGTAGAGGAGAATTGCAATGTTTCTGTGCCTGGTGTTGATGAGGATATTTCACTGATTGCCAGTGCCACTTAGTGAGGGTATCATGCACTGGGGTTTGGAAGGCCTGAGGCAAAAGACGCAAATGTGTCTAGTGTTGTCGCCTCAACTGTTCCTTTTGAAAGCGTGTTCCAGTCCCTGATTGTTTTGGGCAGGAATGAGCAGTTCCTATACTGGCTTCTTCCTGGTGTGAGCCGGAATTGCCTGTCATTGCCTCGTCGCTTCTATGGGGGGGGGGGGAGAGGGACGAGTTTCTGTTTAATTCTGCATGGAACAGTGGACCAGCCCATTATTTATTGTGTACATCATGGAGAGCCTGGATTGCCAACACTTGAGGCTGTCCCCTTACCCTCTTCCCTTACAGCGGCCCTGGTTCCTTAGTCAAATTATTGGAGCTCCCTTTTAATTAAAAGAAGTGTGTGTCTTAACCCTAAACTTAGGTATGCAAGCAACTTTTCAGAGTATACAATAGGATTCTCGGGCTCACAGATAAAGTAACACCGAATACCATCTTCTAAAATCATATTTGTTTTGTACATTTTTTTATTTTTTTTTGCCGGTGTTAAAATTTTGTAATGAAATTTATCAAATCAACGCTACGATGGCACATTATTTTGTTTTTACTTTAAGGCGCACTTTTTAACGTTTCAGGTGAAAGACAGCTGCCCAGCAGGAGAATGATGGAAGATGATATAAGTAAAAAGGAGGACTCGATGAAAAAATTGTATCTAGGTTCAAGGAGGCACACCTTGCAGGTTGGTTTATTTGCACCTCCAAAAGAAAAATTAAATGTATGACGAATGAATGTCGTGCAGGATAAGCATGTTTTATTTGACAGGTGAAGTTGTTACACGTTGCACTTGAAATGGTACATACAAATCCCATGCTAAGTCTGGTAAAATGACATACTCCTAGAAGACCCTACGTTGCAAAATGTACCTTTATGGTTAGTTGTATAAGGAAGTAAGCGATTTTTTTCTTGATATGATTTTGTAAAGAGGCGGCCTGTCCAATTTCCAGGAACCGTTTCTATAAAATCAGTATTTATGGGGAAAAAAAAGAGTTTGAACTTAAATCTAATTATTTTAGGATAATTCATCTACCGCGTTTCTAATCTTTGATTATTTTCAAAACAAAACAGCTCACGCCCCATGGGTGCAAACAGGTAGGATGCCATCATTGGTCATGTGCCTCAGAAACCATAGATTAACATGGAATATAAATAATCACAACCGATGTCATCGAAGCACTTGAGCTTTACGTTATGATTATGTACGGCAAACATCTAGAGGCTAACAACCTTTTTTTTCCGAAGGAGATCATTATCTTTTAACTGTACCAACGCGATGTCAGGGTGACACGGTCATGGGGCTCTTGTTAATCCTGGCAGGGCAGGGGTCGATCACAAATTAGGTCACGCCAAAACCCCGGTACAATGATTTCATCAGTCGTGCGAATATTGTTCATGGAGAACGTTCTGTTTTTAAAAAATTGATAATGTCTTATAATAAACTGCTGCGAACTTGAACTATTTTAAAAACAAACCAATCGTTGTTTTGAGGCATGACTTTAATTCCATCAATTAGCTTGCACAGTTTTGATTACACGAATTATATTTGACTGTAACATTTGTGGACATGGGTAAATTATTCTTTGATTAAATATGAAAATCGGTAGTGATTCTAATTCAATTTAAATTTTTATTTAAGAAAAGCCGCCAATAGGCTTAATTGAGAGATTGTTTTGTGCCAAAGCTTGGTCTGAACCCTGGACAAAAAATACGCCTATAAATTCTCTGTTTATCCAGACATTCTGGATCGCCTATATGGATGAAGTGGCCTCGCAGATAGGAGCGCGTCCCAACCTATGGAAGATAGTTTGCACTGATCCAGAGTTGGCTCTCAAGTGCTACCTGGGACCCTGCTTGCCTGCTCAAGTAAGATACTACACTTTGCTATTGAAATAAAAAAATAAAAATTGAGCAAAATGCCACTAATTTGCAGTTGATGGATGAAGAAAAAAATGTGTACTCTTATCGCAGAATAACATATCGATCATGTATTGTTTTCCAGTACCGCCTCGTTGGACCTGGGACCTGGAAGGATGCGCGGACCTTCATCGTCAACGCCTTCGCGCGGGCGACAAGATCAAGAAGTTCAAGGCTCTGCAAGCGGAGCTCCAGCACGACTATTTCAGCAATACACGGTGACGCCGGTCCACAGGAATACTGTGCCGGATCTATCAACACAATGGTAGCGCTCAACAACACGGGCATCAAGACCGCGGGCACGGTTCTCACAGGGCACACTTCACGAAGACACCGCCGAAGACTGCTCTCCCCCGAGTGGGCAACCATGTCTTTCTACGTCATCATTCTCCTGGCGTGTTGTTTGGTGTGGGTCATGGGGGTCATGTTAGACCAGGCCGGGTTCAGAATGAGTTACGTCAAAACTGTCACGGGGACACGGTCATGGGGTTCTTGTTAATCCTGGCAGGGGCATCATTTATGTGTTAGGGGTCGCTCGCAAATTACGTCACGCAAATAAATGACCTTTTTAGACCCCCCACTCCCCTCCGTCACAAAGTGTCACAAATTCTTTACCCCCTCCCCTTTAATGTCACGTCACACCTAAAAAAAATCTAAACATACATCAAATTTTCATGACTAAAATAAGATTTGATTTTATTCTTCAACATTTTCCCATAATGGATTAAGATGAAGTATTATTAGAAAACTGGGACGCGAAACAACGAAGTCATCCAAAAGCCGAATGTAAAATGGCCGAAACAGTTTTTGCGTCATTTTTCGATATGCGCACAAGGTGTGCGCGACTGAGTTTCACGGTAATACATACGGGAATTTCGACCTCTTATTGATGTTTTTTAAAATTAATTGAATAATGATTTTTCAAAATTATAAAATTTTAGATTTTTTTTTTAAATTAAAAAATCGTGACGTCTCAAATTTTTTACCTTCCCTCCTCCTGTCATAAAGTGTCATAAATTCTCGACCCCCCTCCCCCTCCCTTGAGCTTGTCGTTATTTGCGAACGACCCCTTAGGGCAAAACTATAATAGGGACTCAGATTAGATGCAATCTATATGATGTAGAAGTTGACGGAAATGAAAACAAGTTGATTCAATGAAATTGAATATAAATTTTAGGCCTTTTTAGAGATCAGTCGTAAATATTATCTACCATTTTAACATTATCTACTATTTTCAAGAGTCCTGATAGTGCTACGCATTTACTGTAAATGGATATGTATATAAATGTATATATTAAATTAAAATGTGTAAATATGATCACATCATTTTCATTCTTAAATTATCATTTACGTTGTCTTAATTTGTAAGGCTAATTGTTTTTAAAAAAATGTATTTAACAATCGAGCCACGGTTTTCTGTTCAAGGATCGAAACTAGTAGACAGTACTGTTAATGCAAAAAATATTCAGACAAACGAAATGATTTTCATTATTTAGTTGAGTACTCTAAGTTCTGTTCCTTACCCCATATTCAGTATGAACCTTCAGAATTGTTTATTTTTTACTAGCTAATATACCCGGCGTTTCTCGCGTTTGTAATCGGAAAAAACTTCTAAAGTGTTATTAGCGTAAACGTAAATTTAGGGCCCTGTCAAAAACACTTCGAGAACCAGTAAAATTTACTTATACAAAAAAGCTATATTTGTATTAACTTTTTTAATAATTGAATTTCGGGCCAAACTCGTCTCAATTAATATTCATTATTTTGTTTTACTTATATAGTATAATGCGTTCAAAAAGAAATTTGACGAAAACTTTAACGGGAACTGAAAAAAGATTCGACCAAATTTCAGTTCGATAAAAATTCCGTCGATCAATTTTCCGTCGACGAAATTTCTTTCAAACAAATTTCCGGTAACCACCAAATGCACATGGGTATATGTAGCATTATCTGGAACTGTTATAAGAGATTGTGCACATATTCCCATATTTTACTCGAGCAGCGTGGCTGCGTTGCCGCAGCTAATTTCAAAGAACAAAGAATAAAGCTACCGTCTATAGGTCAGGAGGAATGACCATGTCAAATTTTGCTGCGATCTATGGTTTGGGTTTCCTGTGATTAATCACACTGAGCTGGCAGTAATATAGATCAATAGAGGAGACTGACTAGCGATTCGTTGTACATAGTGTTGAGAATCTGAGAAAAATGGGTAGCCTGAAATTATATTAGACTCTAATACTAGACTCCAACTTTAGTATAGGCCTATCCACTATGCTCCCAATTTAGCATAGGCCTATCAGGGTTGTTAACAATACTAAAAAAAATTATTGGCAATACCAATACCAATACTGCCTGTAAAATCTATTGGCAATACCAATACCAATACAATTTTAAAACCAGTATTGCAATACCAATACCAATATTTATTTATTATTGCCTTACCAATACCAATATTTGGGTCATTCGACGAATAAAACGCAAATACGTAATTCATCGCTCTATATTACTTACATCGATAAACGATAACAACATTTTTGGCTAATTTAGACAATGTATTTTTAACCAAATTTTGTTCAATAGTAAACACTTGCTTCATCAGTTTTCCTCAAAGCATTCAAAAGTCTTTGACAACATATTAAATAAGTCGGCATACCTTAACGTCCTTAAGCAACAAGATTTTTAATATGTATACTGTACACATATTGTGAATGAATGAATGGATGGATGGATGAA